GCGTTTTTTGTTATCTCCCTACCTGTATCTCCACTCTTCCACAATACACGTTTTTTGTTATCTCCCTACCTGTATCTCCACTCTTCCAGAATAAAACTAAGCAGCGCTGTTCGAAGAGAATCAGATTAAAATATGTGAGAAATTTAATTTACTTTCAACGTCACAGTCACAGGCTCCTCGCGCGCGCACTGACTGGTTCAACTGTACAACGCACGCAGCTGATAGTTTCTCCTCCTCTCTGTCCTTTTATCTGAGTAGTTCGCTCTCTCTCTCTCTCTTTCCCTCTCTCTCTCCTCTCCTCCTCTCTGTCCTTTTATCTGAGTAGTTCTCTACGTAAAGCGATGATACGACCGTCACTGCAGAATGTAAGCATGCCTTCAGTGCACGGTTCCGTGAGAGACTGATTGCTCTTAATCTTTTAAGGTAGGTCGGACGACCTCCTTTCTCAGCGGGCGGTTGAGGCGGTTCTGCTCATTCTATTGTTCGATACTCTACGTGACTATCATTCTAATTCTCTGTGGAGAGAAAAAAAAGTTGTCCTGACTCTATCAGAGATCTCAGATTGCTACTCGCGCATGAACACAATTTAACGAGTGTAATCAGACTAGCTCTATCCCGCCATCCAGAACGCTCAGACCATCAACCAATAAAAAGCTGTAATGTCATCCCACCGAGAAAATTTTAATGGTTTGGAGAAAGAGCTATTCCACGGTAACGTTTAACGTCCGTCTCCGATAGGACCGATCCAAGTGGGAAGTTCGTGTGAAGTGCCTTTCCCTAGGACACAACGTCGGACCGATTACGAGTCCGGTAGCCTAACCACCGACGCCACAACGATAACGTTGTAATTCAATATCAGTTAATTTACTTCAACTTAAAATCATTAAAACATTTGAAAGACATAATATTAAGAATCATATAATATTACATGCAGTCATTTGAAAAAAAAGATACTTTAATAACTTAATATGCACATTCTATAACAGACAGGACTAATGAGGTATTGTTCTGTCCTGCCAGATACCGAAACTAAACACTTCACAGAATTTGCATATATATAAGTACTTTTTTTTCTTCAAATGACTGCATTTAATAGGTCTTTCAAATATTCTGATCATTTAAAGTTGAAATAAATTAACTGATATTGAATTAACTGTTATTGAATAACTGTGTTATCATTGTAAGAAAGTACAGTCCAAACACACACCATTTAGTTTAATCTGTTCTGTAGCACGATGATATAAATATGTTGTAGCCATAGAGTATTTGTTATACATGGTGTACATTATATCACTTTATCCGACGAGTGCACTTTAATTGTTTCACATTGCAAGTTGTCAACCAAGATCACGCGTATTATGTTGCAGTTCGAGCAATGTACAATTCTTGTATAAGTTTTTGGTTTTTTTTCGATTGTGCACATGTTTGACATTCCTGTGATTTGTGTATTGTGGTGAATATTAAGCATTTTGTGGAGATAAAAATGAGCAATACATACAATGTATATAATATGCAGTTCATTATAATTGTGAGGACGATGTATAATAT